AACTTCCTGGTTGACTACAGTTCATATCACTGCTTGATCATTCAACACTGACTGAAATATTGGCTGTCTATGTATTTTAAAATGTAACTTGAGGTAGCAGTCTTGAGCACTTCAGGGTCGACAGTTTGTCAGAGGAGAAAATCAGAAAGGAGAGTGTGTCAAGCAGAAGGGCGAGTGTGTCAAGCAGAAGGGCGAGTGTGTCAAGCAAAAGGGCGAGTGTGTCAAGCAAGACGGCGAGTGTATCAAGCCAAAACTTTCCGTCGAAGAGCGAAGAAACCACCGCATCTAATGAAGTGGACATTGGAAACAATCCTTACGACGACAAATTAATCACTCGTACTCAACACCATTCACTTGATCACTACTAATCACTCAATATCATACACTTTTTGGCATATTTTACCTAATTCAACGTGTGTATTTAACTTCCCAACAGTATAATCACAACCACAACCGAAAAGCCAGCAAGTGCTTTCTAATAAGTTTCGACGGATTGTATTAAGCAGTCTCATTAGAGTCCCCAGTAACGCATTAATGCAGTTGTTTTTCAGCGCTCTTATTGCATCAGTATTTTGTGCTTATCTGAAATTGTAGAAATCAAGATTGGTCGACGCCTTCATGGATTCGCGTATTATCGTCAGCACATTCGTGCAATGTTCATGAAGCGATTGATTTTTTCGTGCAGGAAGTGGACGCAGTTTATTCCACAACTTCTTTTGCCGGTAAATGAGAAACTTTTCTTTTATATCTAGTAATACAATTACCTTATTCTGGTAATACATTCTAGTAATACATCAGCTTATAATACATTATCTTGTACAAAATTTTGGAAATACTTGCATTGTTTTTGATTGCTTATATGCTAGGAAAAAGTTTGCATCGGAAATTGAATCAGAACGATGTGCCAGGTAAATAATTCCTACGGAATTATTTGACCCCTGGATCCTAGATTTGCTTTTTTCCTGGAGTTGAACAATGTTCATTTGATCATGTTTGAAACGAGGAATATGTCTTTCTTGTTTTTAGGTCGGCTATTTGGCACTGATGATTTGGTCGGCACTCATCATGCCATCGGCTAAGGTTCAGCCATCGCTCCCAATCACTATGAAACCTTACTCAGACGCTGATCATGCAGCAAATGTTTATGTTCAGAATGCTAGTGTTTTTCCTGCCTTATGGAACTGTACACTTCCTCAGTGAGTGCCAACAATAAGCTTATTTCTTTCCATCAATTAACGGTTTCTTCATCAGAGGAGTCATTTACAACAGTTCAGTGCTATTGCACTAATAATGAGATCACACGACCTCAAGGCATTTTTTTGAAAACTCTTTCGTTGCACTTCGAATACAATTGGGCTCGTTCTCTAATTAACAAATTTCGAATACATTATCAGTTTAGATTGATCAATGAGACGATTCGTGCACAAAATCCAGAGGTTCCATTCAATGAGACAGTTTCCGGGAATATTTCTAAGCTGATACTTCACGATACCACATCGGTTGGTTGCCTACAATTTTAGCGAGCAAATATTCAAGTGTTATTTCTTATTCTCGCTGAGCGTTGAATTGGTAGGTAGAGTTGCGTCAGGGACCTCCAAGAATCGGAGTCCCCGAGGGAATGGTTTGAGGACCCCGAGTATTTTCGACGTTCCAAGGGACCTTTTACCCTACCTCTTATCCTCAGGGCTCTGTTCTTACTCTTTAGGCGTGGAAGCCCACGACTTTGGGGACTAACGAGCCCAATTTTGCCACTGACCTAACCCTAACCGGCGGACTGGTTCCTTTCACTGTCGCGTTGCGAATTTATGGTCTGGATACAAGGTTTCAGCATAACTATAAGTTATTCTGCTAGGAATATCACCCAAGTGGCTTGCAATATGTTTCTGCTTCGTTGTATCATCCATGAATCCATCGCGTATGAATTTTAGGAAGGCATGAGATATTTTGGAATACATGATCCAGTCGCTTTTCGGTACAGTATCGATGTAATCATGCAATCTATAGTTGGTGAGCTCATCATATTGTATTTATTTTGCTAATTTTCTTCCTTGAAACTTGACAACTGTTCGCCTCACAGGGATTGCTTCCCAAAATGAATGACTGCGTGGATTATCAAAATCCCGATAGTGTCGTAAAATATGTTGAGACATCAAAGTGCTCATGCCTACGAATGGTGAAGTCATACACATAAATCCGTGCCATACTTACATGATGAGCATATTTTAGCAATGTTCAACAATTTCGGTCTCGCAACACCTGCATTAGCACTAAGTATTGCGGATTCTGCAATAATGCGTCTTGCAACGAATAAAAATCTCAGTCTGCTAGTAAGCATTTTTCATTCATTCTTGTTTAATATTCTTCAATTTCATTTCTTGAGTCAGTTTGTCTTCGCAGTCGAATGAAGTCGATTTATGCTTGTCAACGATTACTTTCGACCGAACTTATCCGTTCAGCACTNTATGATCTCAGCAGAAAACGTATCCATCTCATTTTATGACAACATCGATTTCTTTCCGTTGATGCGGCGAATTCATATCTCCGAATTGAGACTCGTCATTTTCGTAGGTATCCAATCATCCTCTACCACCGACAACAGCTGATCAGCTGAAGAATAAAATCGTCAACAATACACCAGCATCGATCATTGCTTATGCGATCGTAACATCGATGAGTTTGGTTGTGTCAGGATTTGCGTACTTTTTGATTCGTGAACGACGAACAAATTCAAAACATATGCAAGTAAGCGTGATTTTATTACTCGCGAGGAGAATTTTCAACAATTCCTTGCAACCAAACTGCTCACAGAACACTGTTCGTGTATGGTCTTTTAAGCAGTTATTTTGTTTTCGAATCATTATTGCAGATGATGAGTGGACTCAATCCGTTGACGTATTGGTCAATGGCCTATTTGTGGGACATTTGCTGTTTCTTGTTGACAATAGTCCTGTTCATTGGTGTCATTTGTGGATTAGATGTTAAGGTTCGTTCTGACAGCTTATAAGTCTCTTTTCATAGCAAGCAATCTTGATCTCTCTGGCATTTTGTAACATTGGACAAAATTAATCGCTCAACATATTGTCTCGACGATAATATAGATATTTCAATCTGTTCAAATTGCAATTGCTTTGACGGTGTGTAGCGCAGTTGCAGCGATATGGCCAATCATATTATGCTCGTTTTAGGAGTATACATCACGGAGTGACGTACCGTTTCAGCTTTTACTTGTGATGCTTCTCACGGGATGGGCCCAAATCCCATTTGTATATGTATTTTCATTCGCATTTACATCGCCTCCAAAGGGCTACACACTCATTGTGATGTACAACATTATCACGGGTCTGTTTTTGGTTGTTTCCTAATCGAAACATTTCTTTATTTTTCCCCATCAGCCATCATCTGTATGTATAATCAGCTGTCATGTCGATCTGTNACATCTCACAGCTGAACATTGGAAACTATAAGCGAGTGTCGCTTATAGTTTCCAATATCCTCTAAAGTGCTAGGATCAATGAATTTCAGGTATGATTGGTCTCTTAACGGTTCCCATAATTGCGCAAGCAGTTAATAAGGATGTCGCTGAAACAGTATCAATCATTTTCTCGTTCACTTTCTCAACATATAACATTGGAAATTGTTTCTTAAAAATATACAAAAATGAATTCGGTCTAAACGCATGCAAAGCTGTTGACTGTTCAACGGTCATCATCAAACGTTCTCTTGAGATGTGCTGTGGATCGAAGCAAAGTGAGCGGTTTTGCTGGCATTATACATTTGATCTGTTAAGCTTTAAAAAACTCGTTCGAAGGATAAATAGTTTCTGCTGAAGCATCTGCAAGCTGAACTCGTACTTCCATGTTCCCGGATTTTAGAAACTGCAGCCAAGAAGTCGTTGGGTGATCGGCTCATTCGAAAAGTATCGATATTTGGGTTTGAACAGCATTGAATACTGCTGGATGGTCTAAGTATCCCGAGCTTGAGTGTGAGTGTGAGAATAAGACGAAGGCCAAATGTATGTGTGGCAACAGGCCGCTTATTTCCAGGCTTACATTTGGCTAAGCTTAAGCCGGCCGGAAATTTTGAGTTGTCGATAGTTTGGTGTTAACTCAATGGTACAAGAAAGATAAATTTCAAAGCCTTTGGTGCGAGAATGTTATTTCAGACAGAATTTATTCCGAGGACGTTCTGAGCGAGACTGGGAGACGAGGCATTCTTACCGAACTGCTCTTCCTCACAATTCATGGGATCGTATTTTGGATAGTCATGATGATTATTGAATATGATTTGTTCAGCAAATTAAAATATGCGATTGGTCGTAGAAAACGCGATAAAATTGCGGACAGTTCAACGTTGTTTGCTGATGCAGTTAGTGAAAATGTTTTCTATGCTGAAAGAATAACTTTTAAAACTGTTAATCCACTTGTGCACTTGATTGATGATAGTGATCATTGAGATCCTTTATATCTGCTTCATAGTTGGAAATTCAAAATATTTCTGTCAGTCTGTTGGAAAAGAACAAAAAGTGATAGATAGGATTTGACAATTGTAACGTGCCGTTGTTGGGAGAGTTCTGAAACACTCCACTTGATCATATCGTCGAATTTTTATTTCAGGAGTTTTTAGATACAGCCGAGATGAGAAAGCAGTCCACCAGTTCCCTGGACTCAGATGTTGCCCTGGAGCAGTACACTGTCCAGAACAAGCATCCAGCTGAATCGGCTGTTGTTGTGCGAGATCTACACAAACAATATGGCAAACTGCACGCAGTTAATGGCATTTCGTTTCATGTTGAGAAGGAATCTTGTTTTGGTCTTCTCGGTATCCATTCTCGATATAATTTTTGTTTTTAAGCAATGTTTGATAGACCGATTATTGAATCCCTTCAGGTACGGAAGTTTGCGAATGATTGACCAATTTTATGTTGACATATGTTGGGAGCACGGAAAAAACTTTAGCAGTAAAATCACATTTTATCAAATGGTACATGGAAATTCATTTAGGAGTGAATGGTGCCGGTAAAACATCGACATTCCAAATGTTGTGCGGTGAAAATAGGATATCGTCGGGTGATGCCTTCATTAAGGGTTACAGCGTGAAGAACAATTGGAAAAAAGTGAATCATTTCATTTTTTTTGGAATAATGATCACTGAATGATCATTCAAAAACTGTTATCAGAAATCGAATCATTTCTGTCAATAGCTGATAACTTTCCGTTTAGTTCACTTATTCGTGTCAGTTTTGTTTGGATGAAATTGCAAGCTGATTACTTGAAATGAATGCGGTAATACTGCGTGTCCATCAGGCATCTCTACACGTCGGCTATTGCCCACAGTTCGATGCGGTGATTGAAGAGATGAGTGGCGAAGAAACGTTGAAGATGTTTGCACGGATTCGTGGCATACATGAAACCGATATTACACCAATGGTCAACGCAACGATACGTGCGATTGGCGTTGAACGATATGCCAAACGACAGATTAAAACTTACAGGTTATTACTAATTATAGATGAGAAACACCAAACAGTGACATCGTGTTTTGTGATCATCACAGGTCATCCTGGCCAGTCCTCGCCTCGTCCACTTTTGCCGTGACCATTTCTCGTTTCGTCTTGTTTAGTTTAGGATCGTCTGATCGTTAGTCATCTCACCGTCTCGTCGAGGAACTGACGAGAAATGGTGGAAAAGCTATGGCGACTGAGGTTTATCTAAATACCCCACCCGAAATCCCTTTCTTATGTTCTCAACAAGTAATGGGAGTGCATCGTTAAGCCAAGAAGAAGCTGATCATAGTGTGGCTTTTACTCGGCAGCGGATCATAGTGTGATCATAATGCTAATCATAGTGTGGGTTTTACCCAATACATTTTTGGAGAGGATTTCGTAACGGATCAAAATGTACACCATCAAATTCTGGCCACCAAATTCAGTCCTTGGATTGGAGAAAGAACCATGGAGAGAAAGCACACAGTCCAACGGAGATATCTTTAGTTGCTGATTGAATTTATTACTGATTATTACGGATTCATCTTTCGTGACCAGTTTATAAACCTATGTTCCCAAATTTATGTAATATCCGAATTATTCTAAATGCTGATTGATATTATTGTTGTAAATGTGGCAATATTTCAGTGGTGGTAATAAACGGAGACTGAGTCTGGGTATAGCATTGGTGGCTCTACCGGATGTGTTGTTGCTAGATGAACCAACGACTGGAGTTGACCCGAAAGCAAGACGATTAGTTTGGAATATTCTATCCAAAGTTGGTTGTTCTTATGCCTTGCTCAGAAATTACCGCTCATCAAGCTCCATTGCAGTAACAAATTATTAACTCATACTGGGCTATTCTTGTCGTCCATATTCCATTATGAATAATAACCTTACCTTGCGGCCTGTCTTCGCTCTTTTCGTGGACGCAGATCAACCGATCCCCATGTTACTCTATGCTGCGCAGACCTCTTCCATTTCTGACCAAACACTCTGACGAGTGGTTCATCCCATCTCATTCGCTGTCTNTCTCATAATAGTGCAGATAATTAGAGTGATAACTGTTATCAAACCAAACAATATAAAATGAATGATGCCAGGTACGTGAGCAAGGGACAGCCATAATCCTCACATCACATACAATGGAAGAGTGTGAAGCGTTATGCACAGAACTTGCCATCATGGTATCTGGCCGTTTCCGATGTATTGGCAGTGCGCAGCATTTGAAATCGAAGCAAGTTATCAGCTCTATTGTTATTGCCATTTTCTCCGGGAATGTAAGGAAAACGATTGAACCGAAGTTCATCCGAGTATCCTATTTAAGCTTGTCTCAAGACGTAGTGCCCTGTCCACAACGAGTCATTGCCTCGCAACGTGCACAAATACCAAAATGTGGCAGTCAGACCCACAAATCTCGTAAAATCGTATGTAAACAGTCGTTTCAGAACACTCAGTCCGAACTTCTCATAAAGTACAGCATCATTCCCAATATTCCAGGCAGTATTCAAATCTGTTGCAACTCACTGCATTATATTCCTCCTAAAA